CAGTACATACCCTGGGTGCCTACTCAAGACATATCACATAAAGATGACTACAACATAAAGTGGATCACTGGGATAAAGGAGAATGAATTCAAAGAAATGTATTTGGAACACTCTTTTCAGTGATTTGTGTCATTAATTTAACCAGGCAGGAGCAGGGATCCAAATGAAATATCTGACATACAGAATCAATCTGAAATCAAAATAGAGTTTACTGAACTACAAAGTGATGTTACCTAAACAAAGAGAGATTATTGATCATACAGACAAGGCGATTCAGCAGTTGTTCCATATTATGAAGTAATAAGATCATGTCTCCCTACACCGACAGAATTGCATCCCAGACATAGTATTCATAGCTAGAGCTACAAAAATGTTGTTATATGCAGAGCTGACATGGCTGTGGGAGCATGAGCAAGATTCATTTCTGTCTGTTAAATCTTTAGAAGGATTAGCAATAGCTTCCTATCACAGAATCTTGATTACCGTTGATGTACAAGCCATAAAGAACACTGCTTGAATTTCAGATCCCTGGTGCATTGGGAGGGCTGACAGACCAATCATCATTGTAACTATCAACTGATAAAATTTGACAAACGATCAGTGAAACACAATAAATAGGGAGCATCGTGTTGCTAGCTTTATGCCGCTCCTCACCTCTGAAAAGTGTCACTTTTACAGACCTTTTGTATGAACCCATTGTTGTTACTGAATTAGTCTTACGCCGCTCCTCACCTCTGAAAAGTGTCACTTTTATGGACCTTTTGTATGAACCCATTGTTATTACTGAATTAGTCTTATCAACAAATTAAAGCTAATGTAAGCAGAGCAGGGTTTGCTGTGCTTGGATGGATAGCAACCTGATTTTTATCAAGCCACAGAATAATTCAGCTCATTTTGTTTCTGACAACAGTCTTGGTACTATGGCAGACCGATCAGTGTGAGTAAAGGGTTACTGTGTCATCTGCTCACAGAAGCATCTTTGATTGTGAGCTCGCTTTTGGCATGTCATTAAATACAGCACCAGAATGAAGTGGTCTCTGGGCGCTCTCTTTGGGGTGTACTCGATTCGTTCTTCATCTCCTTGCTAAGCTCGAGATGATACTGACAATCATCTACTCAGGGCAAACTCATTTAATCTGAGTCTGCCTCTTAAAGTTCACTTTCAGCAGCTGTTCTTTGAATTCTGTTTGAAGAAAGGATTGAAGCCTCTGAATTACTTCGATTTTCCAAACGCATGTAATTGGGCTGCAGAGGATAGAGCAGTTAATGTTCAAATGCTTTAGCTCCCAAAACACATTTAAACACATGCATCCCTTTCCACAGCAGTCATTTAAGAATGAGAACTCCCCTTTTCCTTTGCTCTCAGTTTAACTAGTTAATTCTTCTGTCAAGGGGTGAAATTGACTGCAATGCTTAGGAGCCAGGGACAAGCCCAGCCAAAGGGTTTGCAGGGCCCAAGGCAGGATGCTAGGAGTGGGGTCCCAGGCCCAAGCGGTAGATGGTGTATACTCAGCAGCACGGGGCCCCCAAAGTGCAGGGCCCAAGGCTCTTGCCCCACTGGGGACTCTTGTACATTTCAAAGCTGGCATGCAGCATGGAGCCCAGAGTCAGCGGGACTTCCCGCTGGCCCTGGGCTGCACATGGAGTTCTGCATTCCTCCTTTGAGATGTACAAGAGCCCCAGCGGGAGGAAGGAGGAATGCAGAAGTGCCTCTCGACTAGTGGACTAGTAAATTACTCGCTATTTAACATCCTTACTTCCTGGCAGGGCAGTGGGAGTCCCACACACAATAGTGGGGCTGCGGGAGCCGGGTGCACACAGGCTGTGGGACTGACTAGCACGGCAGCAGGAGCCAGGCACCGCAGTGAGAGCCCGGCATGGCAGCAAAAGCTGGGAGTGCACAGAGGTGGTGGGGCTGCTGGGTGCTGCAGCAATAGCCTGGTGCATGCGGAGGTGGCGGGGGGGAGGCTGTCAGGGCAGTGGGGACCAGCAAGTGTGGGGAGCCAGCTGGGAGGTCGGTGGTTGCAGCAGGGCTGGCGGTAGCTTAGGGGGGTGAGGGGAACTGAAATGACCTCCCCTGGACTGGCAAAATCCCTCATCCGGGACCGGTGAAGTCTGGAGGGTGCCAGACCATAACCTGTATAAGTTCCTACAAAGTCTGTTTCCACCATTTATACACTGTGTTTTTACTTTTTGTATAGGAGCTTTATTGTGAACATCTCTAAGCATATTAGCTCTTCCTAACACATACATTATAGCTTAAACATCAGCATAAACCATCCAAGAAGAGGCATCTGGGTCCAACAGGAGTGTTTCACTGTAACCCCATTGTCTGGCTCCACTTTGGAGGATGTTTGTAGCTTCCCTAAATTGTTCTCATTTAAATATGCTTTGTGCTTAGAATTTTATCCCAGGAAAATGATGATGTCCCATCTGAGTTTGAATGGTGATGCCAAACTCTCATCAGATGTGCAGGTTGATCATAACGGTCCCTTCTAACCTTAAAGTCTATGAGGTTTCAGAGAAGGGCAAATTTTTGTATAACTCCTAAACATTTTTGAACATTTATAATGCATCTGTGTTTTTCTCCTAAAATACATGCAATTAATTTTTGTAAAAATCAGAGGAAATAAACAGCCTACATTGAGAGCACTAGTTGTAATACAGGTATAAAGCTTTGGGTTTTGTACAGAGGCACCTGAGTGTTCCCGTGCTTTTCCTTAATGCCATACCTATTCATTCCAGAAACCATTAGCTGGAAGTGTCATCAGAGCAGATTCTGATAACATTTCCCACGTGCTTCCAGTCAGAGTAGAAATAAATGTTGGAGAGTCTGCTTTTTTATGATAGTACTTCCTTCCCGGGCTTCTGTTTGGAAGTGCAGCAATGCATGAAAAAGAAACATTGGCTGACAAAGCTAAACAGAAATTTCAAAACCTTGAGAGAGCTTATTTTAGAGTTTTAGGTTCAGGTCCACAGATAAGAAAATATCAGATGCTACATTGATAGTGTTATTTTGCCCCCGCATCCCACCCAGGCCTAATTACCATCTTTGGCTATCATTTAAGGCAAGTACTATATATATAGTTTCTGGGGTTTGATGCTTGACCTTCATTTCAAATGACTCACCTTGTCAGTAAGCCAAGAACTGTACAAGAAAGACATCCTCATGAAAAAAGGAAGGCATTGTCCTACTGAGCAGTCCTGTGTTTAAGCTCACTTCTAACCCATTCACTTTCTCTTTCAAATACCATTGCCGGAAGGAATATCTGAAAAATGATGTAGGCAACAGCAATTGTAGACCCTCCCTGTTAATGATTTTCCCCGAGACAGTGAAGAATTTTCTGTAACCCTTTGCTTCTTGGTGGGTTGTGCCTCCTGTGTGTGACCATTTCAAATAGGCGCAGATCATGGTGAGGCCTTGGAAATAGAGGTTTTGGGGCTAACTGTAACCTTTCCCAAGCTTCTTGGCAGGTTTTGATGATTTTATTTTCAGGAAGCAGACTTTTCTTTCCAAGCAGGATGCTGTATATTAGTCTGTCTTGTTACCTGATCCTAAACTACTGACTCGATAAATGGGATCACATGGAAAATTTAGTAATTCTGAGCAGTTTGAATCTAGATCTCAGGTGACCATACAAATCTTGATTAATTCTCACAATATCCATGTAAAGTAGCCAGTGAAGTATTATCCCTTTTACACATGAGATCCCAGACCTTGTGGTAGCGGCTGTATACCACTTGGAAATAATGATAATAATTAATATGTGATTATCTCGCTGGAGTGTTGGAAAATTAACTTTGCAAACACTTGAGCACGTGTATAATTTCTCTTTTGTGAGTAGTCCCCCTGGAGTCCACTGGCGTGAATCACGTTATACATGTGATGAGGTTTCTGAGACATCACATCCTTAGCATTTTGAAAACAGAAAATGCTGTTGAGATGCTAACTGAGAAATATTAGTAGTTACTAAATTTAAAATGTCAGTAAGGAGGATACATGGACTGACATTGCCCCAGGCCCAACCCTAGAGGTCAAACTACCATATTAAACAATTTTTATGTAACTCTTGGCCCAGCTATGCAGTAAAAAAAAAAAAAAATGCCCAAAGCCTCTGGCTAACTTTATAAGCTGTATATATAAAATACACATTGTACCTTGAATCATATGCCAAAGATCTACAGCAAAATTGTTTACTACCAATATAAGTCTCTCAGTAATTTAAGCCCTTAATCTTTTATGGTATTTTCTCTCTCTCTCTGTCTGACCCTGCAGCTGTCTGAGAATTGCTATCCAAGCAACCTGATTTCGACAAGTCAATGCTATTTCTTTATAAACATGATTACTTTTCTAAGAACCAAAGTTAAGTCTTTTCTTGTAATTATCACCTTGCTTGATAGCAAATGCAGTAATTTTACTTTTTTAAAGCCACAGTACATGGTAACTACATAATCTTGTCTGAAGTTTTGGAGTTTCAGATAGGGATAGAGAGCAGTATAACAATAAAAGTATTTACGTCATTAAGAATTACCAATTTAATCAGGCCTATCCACAGTCTAGCTTTTTCAAAAAAACAGGTTATCAGATTCTTGCGCCTAATCTCTTAGTTTTTGCTGAGCACTGGGGTAGTTGTGAGCTTTCGGGAGTTGTATATCTATATTTTCATTAGCTAGCCATTCCAAATGTAAGGAGTATGGGCACCAAGACTGCTATTTGAAGCTAAGTAAGGTTTTTTTCTCCATCGTTTTGAGGTCCCATTTCATAGCTTTGTACTTGCAGTACACATTTCTGGTAGGGTAGAGAAATAGATCTAAATTTAACTGAGGAAAAACTGGTCAAGATCTTGGGACTATTAAATATGGAAGAACACTTCAAAGGTATTTGACATTCTTTATGCTACATACTGTTGACTTCATTGATTATTACTATTGTAAGTCAGAAGTTATAATAATATGGGTTACTATGCACTGGAGTTATGTCTGATTCTCTTTTTATGCAGGTTTAAGATTTTTAAGAGCCCTTAGACTGATACAATTTTCAGAAATTTTGCAGTTTCTGAATATCCTAAAAACAAGGTAAGACTTTAATGCATACTTTACCTGTCTAAAGTCTGTCTTATCCAGTCTATAGTCATAGTCAGAGGTAATTTCTTCTTCCCTAATGCTTTTGGCAGGAAACACATACACCTTTTTGACTTTTTCCCTGAGGTAGTTTTAATTAAAGACATTAGCTACTAAGGCACATTCATGAGCCAAGCTGTCGTGTAGTCTTATCCATGCATCCATTTCATCTTTTAGGAAATGTGATTTATCAGTTTAATTGGTGATTAGTTTCATTGGTGAGCCTGCTGCATTGGTGAACCTAGAGCTTCCTAATAAATGGTTTTCTTTCACAAAGGTTTAGTCATCTCTTCTATTCTAAATTCCCATTGCATGCTGTATTTTGAGTGAATGGTTTATCAATTTAAATGTCTTGCTGATATTTTCTGTTGATTATGTCACTTGATACATGTTTATACCTGTAATACACAAGGGACTGAGTGATTATGAATTTAAAAGACTCATGATAGAGCTACACAGTGATTAAATAATCCATCCTTCCACATTCTGAATCCCTACTTTATTGCCTCATTAAAGTAGGAATAACTTGCCCAACAAAACATTCAATGAGGAGATGGCAGTTCAGAGGTGATTATTGCTCTGAATCATGATGAAAATCTTTGATTTCAAAAACATTTTTGTATTGATTTTCCACTCTGGATATGTCATTCCATTCATTGACATAAGCCTTTCTTTAGATGGATGTTTGACGATATTTCAGTTAACTACAGTATTCATATTTTAACTTGTTCTGTGTGAGTACACATTAGCTGCTATTGTGCCCATTAGTTAATCACTGTGAAGCACCAAAGGGACTGTGCCATGTTTCACTGCAGCAAAGGGATTAACTTTTTAACATGCATTAAAATACACCACCTAAAATATTGAGCCAATGTTCTAGTACTTTTTTAAATAACTCGACATTTCCGAGTAACCGAGTAACGCGCTGGCGAGATCATGCTAATGAAGAGTGGGATATTTAAATCCCCGCTTCATTAGCAATTTGCATCCCTAGTTTGAACTAGGGAGCAAGTGTAGACGTACCCTTAATGAGCAAGGAATCCATGTAAATCACCCTACTCATGGTGAGTAAATAGACTAGTCAGATGTGTGCAGGTACATTATAACAAGCAGTCTCTGCAGTACTTTAAAACTGTTCTCATTATGCCACCTTTTGCATTGAAAGAGATCTTAAATTACTCTAGAACTCTCAAGATCTGCCTGGAATAGAGTGAGAGTGTAGTTTTTCTTCTTAAAATAATGTAACTTGTTAAATAAACACTCAGAAAAAATATAGTCCTCTAGCCTTAAAATGCTAGTAGTCTGGCAGGGAGAAAGGGTAATTGTTACAGAAACTCAGTGTATCAAAGTTTCCTTACAGAATACAAAGGATCTTATCTAAAACCCAGTGAAATCAGTGGAACAAATCCCATTGACTTCAGTAAGTTTTTTATAAAGGTTCAAATCCCTTTCAGGAATGGTGGAATTTTAACGCTCAAGAACAGCCAGTGAAGAAGAGGTGCCTTAATTAAATGTGTTTCATTTAAAGCTGGCTTAGGACCTGTCCCCTTTGTTCATAATAGCATTTGTCTGATGCCAAACTTTGCTCCCAAATTAGATGTTCATCGTCTTTGTAATTATTTACATGGATATTCAGGCATCCGTAAATCTCCTGTTCTGATTACTATAAAGCCCTTCAAATCCAGCTTACCTACAGGGCTGCTTTTCAGTTTTACTCAGTTGACTAACCCAAACTGATTGATCACTAAACAATTCATTTGATTTAAAAATCATCAAACGTTGCAGAATAAATTGTTTTGTGTCCCCCACCCTATTCTTGAACAGGCAGTAATCAGGCACATGTGGTATCTTTTGTCTAATTTAATAAACATAAGGAAAAATTAATAGTATAAAAAACTACTGTGTCCAAAAAATGTAATTTATAAAATCTTGTGAGCCAAACTGAAATGAAGGAGCATAATTTCACTGACTTCAATGCAGTGGTTATAGTAGACCTGAAGTTCGACCTGGAAGCAGTGTTGTTGTAGTTAATTGGATATGATGTGCCAAATTAACCTCAGAACCTAAAACCAAACAAAAATAAAACAGGGAAGACGATGTATCTGTTAAGCATTAAGAATAGTTAATGATGGACCACAACTTACCATGCACTTAAGTGTGATTAATAACCAGACGCATCTAGCATAAAATGGTGACAAGAATCAGAGAGGTAGCCATGTTAGTCTGAATCTGCAAGAATGAGAAGTCCTGTGACAGCCTATAAGGTACCACAGGACTTCTCGCTGATCTAGCCTAAAAGGCCATTTTGACAGACCTTATAGCTGTTGACATAATAGCGCAAAAACAAACAAAAAAAAAGTGTGGCATTCTAGCCAGCACCAATAAACTTTCCATCAGTGATGCTCAGAGGTGCTAGGTATCAAAATGACTCCAAGTAAAAACAAATGTTGAAAAAGAAAGCTTCTTTTCAATATTATTGTATTATTAGTCTTTCCAAATGAAATGTAAAACCAAGGTGCTGACTGCTTGTGGTTACTCCTCATCCTTTAGCACTTTTCCAAGGGTTAGAACACTTATCTCAGTTAACTGACTAAATTCGTGTTTTGGTTAAATACACTCTCCCTAAGTAAATTCTAACATCAGTAAATCTACCTCACTTTCTGCCTTACACTGTGTTTTAGTACTGCATATTGTTAAACAGCTGCTGTGCACTACCATGGAGATGACTTCACCTGAAACAGGTGAAGTGTCTCCTGGATAGAGAACTGTACATCATTTTAGGATTCTGTATTATGCTTCTGTAGAAATTTTAAAATATTGTTCAGCTCTGAATATGAAGGCCTAGATCTGTTGAATCTAATGAGACATGCATGAGCGAATAACAGCAGATTTGCAAGGCAAGCCAAATATCAATAGGCTCAGGGTACTCTCTAACATGTTTAGCTACAGTAATAAACACTGAAATAATTGTATCTTGAACATTAATTCTTTGGATCATTTAAATAATTCTGGATGTATTATTTCATATCCCTCTTTTAAAAGTGATTCATGTAAAGAATGTCCTAAAACAATAACATAAGGGGTCATTTGAATACAGTGTGTTGTGTGTTCAGTAGCAACACTTATTACCCTATATACTGTAATACTGGTGGGTTATGCAGTACATCCCTTCTTCTCTAGGTCACATGGAAAGACAGACCCTGTAATATTTGGATCTTGCTGGAGAGGAAGAGAATTCCCCTCCCTTGGAAAATATGATTGACTTTAACTTCTAAGTTAAAATTACTGCCTGCAAGGCTTTATTTTCTATAATACAAAGTCAGAAAGAGAAGCTGAGTGAATGTAGCAATTGAAGGACTAGGATTAAAGGAACAAATCTCATTCATACGATCAGCAGAAGGGCCATTCATAACACTGTGATCCATACGAAGTGGCTAGAATACTTTGCAAATGAAAAAGGAATACATTTAGCAGGTAGTTGTTGGGTGTCATGTAATTATATGCACATTTTAAAAATGCCTTAATTCTTCTTTAGCAGACTCTCCGCAGATGCAGAAAGAATTTGCAGCCCTAGTATAACCTGGACCTCTAGGAGGCTAACTATGTCCCTTATTGATTTAAGGTTTATATACTTATGAAATGTAATGAATCTTTTTCAGAATTGTTAATTTTTTCTCTCATATTTTAGATGATTGAATTTAGTTAGTTTTTTTCCCCTCGCTATTTTATCCAAGGTTTCAATAAAACTACAGAGCTTTAGGCAAGCCTCGTAATAAGGGTTTTGCACAGATGTTGGAAAGAGCTTAAAGAGCAGAAAAATGTTTGTGACTAATCTTTCATCTATATTTAGTCTCTGGCAGAAAGAGGGGTATTTCATAAAGGACAGGCAGGGTACGATTATGAATAAATGTGCAAAAAAACCCCATCAGACCTAAAGAAGTAATCAAAGTAGTTCTTTAATACCAGCGATTACTATTATTTATGTGTGCTAAGAGAGCACCTGGAAGCCAGTTGATATATTGTAGCATCATTGGGAAGATACAGTCCTCCTCTTGAAATGCATGGGATGAGCAATATTGAGACTTTCATAATGAAGCACGGCATGCTTATGAATTATGCCTTTTGTTCTAATTTAAGGACAAAGGTTTGAATTCTTTGCTATAATCAAATGTAGCCACCAAGAGGATATGATGTAATATGGCATTAACTGTTTATATACTCCATTGGGACAGGTCACGTTCTTAAAGTTATCCACTTGTTTACATGCTTTAGTGAATTGGGGTATATATTGCTGGAATGAATGCATTTAGCAAATTGAATGACTAGCATTTGCCCATGCAGTAAATAATAAGTCCATTATCTTCTACCAGTGTGAAGGTTACTCTTAACGTTTTTTTTAAAACCCACTAATAGTACTTTCACCATCATTTCTTTAATAAAAGCCATTTGAATTTTAAGTATAAAACAAAATGAAAACAGATGTATAAAATATATGTATAAACAAATGTCAAAATCAAACCTTACAACAGAGATTCTCGATCTGTTTACCATTGGGAGCTGCATATTCAGCACACCATGGGTATGTCTACACTGCATTCCTCTTTCGAGAGGAATGCAAATGCAGACAAATGAAATTGCAAATAAAGTGTGGATTTGTATTTCTCGCATTTCATTTTCATAATTGCATCCGGACGCTTTTTGAAATACCCTATTTTGAGATAAACGCAGTGTTGACGCAGTTATTTTGAAAGAAACCCCTTCTTTCGAAATAACCCTTACTCCTTAAAAATGAGGTTTTAACGGTTATTTCATAAGAAGGTTTCTTTCAAAATAACCACGTTTACAAGGCATTTTTTAATCTCGAAATAGGGTATTTCGAAATAGCGGCTGGACACAATTATGCAAATGAAGTGCGGAAATCAAATCCACACTTCATTTGCAATTTCATTTGTCTGCATTTGCACTCCTCTCTCGAAAGAAGAATGCAGTGTGGACATACCTCAGGTATCCTGTGGGCTGCAGCCACACAATACGGTTTGTATGGCCCTGAGGATGTCACATGGATCGCAAACAGTCTGTGGATTGAGAACCGCTGCCTTACTCACTATGTCCTGCATGTTATTCTGCTGGGGCAGACATCTGCACTGCCGCAAGCCACTGAGTACACTGAAGGATTCAAGGGTTCAGAGAGGCTGATGGCCCCCCTGATGTTGTCTGATCTCCTGTATGGTATAATTCAGGCGACAGAATTTCCCTGAATTCCTGTTTGAACAAAAGTATGTCTTTATGAAAAAAAAAATCCAAACACAACCTTTATTTAATTTGGAAGTCTAATCTTACACATCTGTCACTGTCATTAGTGCATTGCACAGTGCACAATTCCTTTTTTCTTCAGTGCATGTGCAAATTCACATCGGCCTGGGGAGGGGGGGGAGACTGATGTAACAGGGCCGTGATATGTCTGTTTGTGAAAGCTTTAGGAAAAAATAGTTCCTACACATAAAAATAATTTATCTTCCGCCCTTAGATTACTTCAGCTACTCAAAGTTTTTCTGAAACATTCCAAGAGTATGTAAAATGACAACATTAATATTGGGGTTGCTTAGCTGCACTATTAATATCAACAGTAAAGGCATACAAATAATTTCTAATAAATAATATTCTCGAGGATTTAACCTTTTTCCTATTTGTATATGGTTCTGTAGCTGATCCTGATACCTATTCACGTGTTAAATTATTTGACAAATGTTTGCAAGTACTAAAGAAAGTTCATTTTATTTATTTACATCAGTTAGTTCTTAATGTGCAGTCCATCATCTGAGTATTGAAACTTTTTAAATAGTAAAATAATTAATGCATTTTCTGGAACGCATTTTGGGGAAAAAACATCATTTCCACACAAAAAAGGCAGAACTTTGAGGATTCATTAATATGTTTACGTATACTTACCAACCGTGTGAATGCTCAGGAATAACGAACCCAATAATCTCACAGAAGAAAGCAAATTGACCTTCCTGCTTTTGTTCTTTCATACAAAGAAGTGTTTTCACCAGCAAGGGTATTTCAAAATCACAGCCTATATGGGGAAGCGCCATAGAAGCACTAGAGAACACTGCAAATTTCATTACCCTCTTGAAGAAGAATGCCTCCCCTCTTCCTGCAACAGGGACAGGACATTCAGCTGTAGGCATAATGGCCTTATGCTATCCAGCTTCTTCATGGCCATATAGTGCCTACAGATTAACTGCACTAATCTGGTCACTGATTATTTTCTATATGTGCAGAATAAAACCTCAATCCTGCAATGATTTACACAAGTGTTTACATGCTATCATCTGTACCACTGAATTCAGTACATTCATTTTTCATTAATGGGGCTGCTCACAGAATGTAAGGTTTTCATAGAAATGGTGTTAAAAGCAAAATGCATACTGAGGAAATACAAAAGGGCATAAGAAATGAAACAGTTTAAAAAATGCATTTTACAGGTATAAAAGTCCAATTCCTACCTGAGGTAGATAGGTGTAGCTTTTAGATCTGCACCAGTTAGCACCAGCTGAGAATCCAACCCATAGTACTTACACTGAACTAAGTACTATTCTTAATCCAAGTAGGAATAGACAGAGGAAAAGAGAAAGGGGAATGGAAATGTGAAAATAGGGCAAGAATGAATGATTTAGGCCCATGGGTATCTCATATTTGATCACAGGTGCAAATGTAATTTACATGCCCAATTTTTGTCTTGCCTGCTGCTGGAAAATCCTCTCAGATCTCAGAAAACTTTTGTTAATTATTATTCTCTCCATTTCATAGCTTCACAAAAGTTGCATATAAAACCATATGAAATCTATGAAGGAAGAAATTATGAGTTATGTAATAATAAATATTTTTGCATATGGTATTTTTCAGTATTTCTTAAATTCCCATACAGCACCTGCTTCTGTTCCCACTAAAATGAATATGAAGAACTTCAGCCCTAAAGTATATAAAAGTGATCTGCTTGTCTGTGTAGGGATATTCATTACAAAATGGTTTATATAACTTGTGTTCCAGTTACAACTTAGCTGTGAAATATAATATATATCTATTTGTTTGTGCAGTAATTCCATCAAGCTGGTGAATCTGTGCTCTATATTTATCAGCACGTGGCTGACAGCAGCTGGGTTCATACATTTGGTAAGTATACTTAAAAATACTTCATCAGGATTTTTTTTTCATGGATCAGCTCCTCTGAGCTACTTTATTATGTAAAATGACCTTGCTCAGGACAATCTCTTAACACAGTTACAAAGTACAATAAAGAAAGGCATCACAGCTGCCTGATTTTCAGGCCTGGTACCCAAAACTGATTCTGAACAGTAAGTAATATTCACATCATTAGCCTCCCTGTTTAGGTTCAGCAATGGTTACATAAATCATGGATTTTAATAGAACTTTCAGTAATCACATCCTACCACTAGATGGCAATATTGCTTTACTAATTAGTGTGTGTTCTTAAGGGGAGGGGAGGGAATGGACAAAAGCTGATGTTGCATAAATAGTAATAGTCTCAGAGGGGTAGCTATATTAATCTGTAACTTAAAAAAACAAAGTGGTCCTGTATCACCTAAGGGTATGCCTATACAACAGGGCTAACATCGGAATAAGCTATGCAACTTCAACTACGTCAGTTGCGTACCTGAAGTCGAAATCACTTAATTCGGCTTTTGGCACTGTCTGCACAGCAGGAAGTCAAAGGAAGAACACTCTTCCTTTTACTTCCCTTATCCCTCGTGAAATGAGAGTTACCATGAGTTGGAGTAAGAAGTCCTCCAGCTCAACATTATTGCGAAATAAAGGCTTGTAATGTAGATACGCTCTTTATTCCGAAATAATGCTGTCGTGTAGACATCTTGTTAGTATTTAAAGTGCTACACAGTCCTGTATTTTGTTGCGTAGACATGACCTTAGAGACTAACAAATTTATATATGAATCATAAGTTTTCATGGGCTCATCGGAAGAAGTGAGTTATGCCCACAAAAGTTCGTGATACTAGATAGATAAAATATTTGTTAGTCTCTAAGGTGCTACCATTTTTGTTGTTGTTTTTGTTTTCATAAATAGTAATGTCACCCTATTTCTGAGAGTGGCCATCTTGGGAAACACAAGGCTCTGCCGAATAAGCAGTTCTATATTTTCAGAAGAATTAATCTAGTTCCTGACACTTTAGAGTAGTGATCTTAGGGCTGCTTTATTGAGTTAAAAAAAATCATATGACTTTCACTCCCTGCCAAAAAATATTATCTATTTGATGTTTTAAATACTTATTCAGTATTGATTAGCTGTCTGTTTTAAACACTTCTATCACTAAAAGAAGCCCAGTTTTAAAATGCTGATTAATGCCATTATTTTACAAGTTAAAAAAGCAATCCAAGTTTTGAAACAAAGTGTTTATTTTGTGAGTACAATTTAATAGGACTTTAGGGGGCATATTATGTAATAGATTCAACTCAGGCTTAGTAAGATAACAAGTTTTTAGTCTCCTCTTATTGTACACTATATCACAGAGGAAAATGATAGACGATAACATCATAGCGCCTGTAGTTAAACACTTTTCAAAAAGTGATCACTGTAGCTGACCGATCAGACCTCATTTTCGAAGGAAATCTGCAGTAGACTTTTAAAAGATGAGCCTGGGAGCTTAAATTCATTACTCTGCTAGAGTCCCAAAATTGTGGATTAATCAGACACATTGGATTTATGGCCTATGACAACAACCTCTAACCCACTAACCCCTTGTTTTTAAAGCCTGTTGACTACAGAGGTGTTCACCAGGCTATTCTGGCTTGAATGGTCCTTTACAACATGTGATAAATATCTGTTCCATCTTCCATTTAGCTGTGACCTGAGAGTTCCTTTCCCAACTTTAAAAAGAGCTCGACCTAGCTTGATTGCTGCTCATGCCGACTCCATGGGTTTATGGGACTGGAGCACCCATAGGGAAAAACAGTGGGTGGTCAGAACCCACAAGCCACAGCTCTTTGGTCATGTCCCCATCAACTAATCAGGGATGCCTGGGAGAAAGCAGAGCAAGGGTGGGGTCTCCAGGCAGGGAGGTAGCATGAGAAGAGATGGAGGGAGGGCGGAGCCTTGAGGGAAGGGATAGAGCAGAGGTGGGCCTTCAGGGCAGAGTGGGGCTTGAGAACTTCCAGGGAAAAATAAAAGTTAGCATCTATGTCTCTCACCAGCAGAAACAGCTCCAAATAAATTATCGCATCTTACCCACCTTGTCTGTCTTATATCACAAATACTCCTTAGTGACTTTGTGATACAAGCATCATCATAGACTTTTAATTAGTGCCTCAAAAGACCAAACTCGAGGTAGGCCTACACTACTGCTTAAGTCACTCTAACCTATGTTGCTCAGAGGTGTGAAAAAACCTGCTTTTCCGAGTGACGCCACTTAGAGTGACCTAGTGCTGTGCACACCACAATGCTATACTGGTGAAAGAGGCAATGTGGGTTGGAAAAGGGACAAAACATTATAATTGTGCCAGCCATTGTTAGTAATGATTTATTAGCAATCTGGGGATTCTTCTTCTAGATTTGAGGAGAAGCAGGTTTTTAATACAGGCTGGAATTCCCTGGTCCAGCACAGTTTGGACCTGACCAGTCTCGAATGACATTTGCCAGACCAGGCCAGAGGCAGGTGTCGTCTGCCATGGGCCTAAGCCAGCCGGTCCCTGCCTCTGGCCTCATCTGCCCTCTCCCCAGCCAAGCAGTCTGCTGTGCTGCTGTCAGCCCCAGGCTGCCAGGGATGACAGGGGTTCTCCAGCCTAGCCCACACTACCGCATGCAGCCAAATTTCCCCAGGCCCGCACTGCTGTGGGCAGCTAGATTTCCCCAAACCAGCACTGCTGTGGGCAGCCGGGCTTCTCCAGCCCCTCACCCCGTGCTGCTGCAGGCTATCAGCTTCTCCCGGCCCTGTGGTGCTGCGGGCTGCTGGGGTTCTCCGGTCTCTGGCCCCATCACTTCTGTGGGGCTCCTCTGGCCCTGCTGCCCACGGTCCTAGCGGGGATGCTGACCTTCCTGCTATTAGGCTCTCTGGTCCAAGAGCATCTGTGGTCCTGCCGGACCACAGAAGTTGTCAGACCAGAGAGTGCCAGTTTTCAGAGGTGTAACCTGTAGTTGTTCATCTGTCTTGTTACCTCAAAAATATTCTCACTGGAGACCACCCAGGGTTACACTAGTATGGGTTTATTTCCACTAGGTAAGACTAAAGAGGAGAAAGCAGCCACCAAAGGTTTAAACTAAAGAAGATAGAACTCTCTCTCTCTCTCACACACACACTCACTCACTCACTCACTCACTCACTCACTCACTCACTCACTCACTCACTCACTCACTCACTCACTCACTCACTCACTCACTCACTCACTCACTCACTCACTCACTCACTCACTCACTCACTCACTCACTCACTCACTCACTCACTCACTCACTCACTCACTCACTCACTCACTCACTCTCTTTCTCTCTCTCTCTCTCTCACACTCTCACGCGCAAGCAAGTAAGCACACAGCCCTCCATTCATTCACTCATTCACACCCATTCATTCCTGCCCTCAGGCACTCACACACTTACACAGACATATGGGATGCAGAAGGAACCAAGGCATGTGGATCCTGGAGGGTCTGTCTGCTTATCAAGCTGGGGAAGCTGGTCAGGAGGAGAGACACTGGAGGGGAGCTTCTCAGGAGCAGGGGAAGGAAAAAGAGAGGGTCTCACGTGCTCCTCTTTATATAGTGTCTGACTGGCTCCTGTGACTCATTCACCTCATCATCAGGGAGCATGCCCAGACTTCCCTTTATGCAGCAGGGAGCATGCCCAGACTGTGATGATTCATTGAAATGTGCTCCATGGTTCCCAGTCTTCTTCACACTCACACTCTCTCTCCATTCACCCAGGAGAGAATGCAGCTTAAGGAAAGTTACAAACAAGGTGGCTGAGAGTTAAAAAGATTATAAAGTTGCAGTTTACAGTAAATTTCTGAGAGTTACACAAATTACAAAGTTTGACAAAGATCACAATGAGTTGCAGTTTAAAACCTTAGACCTTACAGTTTGGTGTAGTTTCAGAAAACCCATGTATATAAATCAAGTAAGCTCAGGCAGAGGCATTTTTATGCAACATGTCTCAGTTTTCTTCATATTTTCTTTATGGTGCAGCTGAACCAGATAATGTGGACCACATCTTATTAAAGATGATCATAATCTGAAAGATTCTCTTCCATGATCATACAACATCCCTGTGGTAACTGGCTACGTGGGAAAATAAAATTTGGGAATTACTTAATGTATTTTAGATGCTTTTTAATAAAATTAATGATCTGGAAAATAAGAGGGGGAGCCAGACGCATAGAATCAGCCAGTTTTCCTATGATTACCAGCAAGTGATCTATAGATGGTAGTTTGGGAACCCCTGTTCTGTAGTAATTTTAAACATAGATCTCTGTTACCTTGCTTGGAGTTGAAGAACTTTTATCTAAAATTAGGAAACAAGATCTCTGCTTTGGTTCCTGGTCTTGTAGCTTGAATAGTCAAGAAGCTTTGAAGGAATGATTAAAAATAGCAAACTTACTGTTTTTAAAACTGCTTTATTTCCATATTCAGAAGTTTGAGACAACTTTTCACTGATGGGCCTTTTAAATTGCTCCCAAGTATTTTCAAGGGCCTCTATTTGTCTACATGTAGAATCTGGATTTTCAGAGGTATTTCAGAGGCCTGGTGGTTGCCTAAATCCAGGGCCGTTCTAACCAACTGGTGACCCCAGGTGACCACCCAGTTTGCCCGTAGGGTTGCCAGATGCTTTAAAAAAAAAAAGTAACCAGGGAAACCTGGGGGAAGGATTCAGGAAGTTGGGCTGAAAAGTGGTCGCAGTCAAAGACCGGCTCTGTCAGCAGCCCCTTGAAAATGGCGCCCCTAAGACCGGCTCTGTGCGTGTACTTCTGCCCAAATTCAACAACATAGACTCCCTCACTTGAGCACACAAAGAAGCCCCCCCAGAGTTTTGATTGCATAGATTAATGCACTTATTAACATTCCAGGTTCACTACAGGGATCTTTTTGAAAATTTGCTCCTTGATGATTTTCAGACTGGAATTAGCCTTTATAGTCATCCTAAGCTGGTTCTGGTAATGGTCAGAGAAAGGATGCTGAATTAGAAAAACCCTATGTCTGATCTAGTGTGGCAATTCCCATATTCTTACAGACACATGAAAATAGAGGGTTATAAAATAACTTAGCTTAAAGATCTCAACCAGTTCATAAGTTAGGCCATAACAAACTCTTGATAACTGTAACATTTCTCTCTGCTGGGTATAGCAAGAACTTGTTAACTGTTTAGTCGTCTATAATTATTCATTGGTTGACATGAATCATGCTACTGTCAATAGATAGTGAAGATTCAAGTTTTGATGATGATAGACGTTTGTGCTTATGAAACTAAAAGTTATGAATTTTTGGAGCCAGAGATCTGTTTTTGATGATGCATACGTGTGGGTAATTACTGTGTACATGACATCACTGGATGTGTGTTATTTTAGAAGGAAAAGGAAGGTCAGACTATTAAATTAAATAATAATGATTGGTGATTTCCACAAATAATGTAAGCAAGAAGACTCTGAATGGTAACAGGGTACATGTACAGCTTTAATTAAGGCAGAATTTGGTCCTTTATGAGTAAAATGTTTCCAGCATTAAAGCCATACCAATTAGAGTTAAAATTAAAATTAGCTAGTGTTAATCTGTTACTGCCATATTAAATCAATGTGTTTGTCCTTTCATATCATAGGTGGAGAACTCAGGGGATCCATGGGAAAATTTCCAAAATAACCAATCACTTACATATTGGGAATGTGTATATTTACTAATGGTTACAATGTCCACTGTTGGCTATGGAGACGTTTATGCAAAAACAACCCTTGGTCGCCTTTTCATGGTCTTCTTCATCCTCGGGGGATTGGTAAAATCTCTTTATTGCTATTACTGCTTTAATACAGATTTTTATACCCCCTAAATCTATTAAGTAGCAACCTGAGCTATAGTATTTTGTTGAGTAAGTTAAAAACATAATACAGGAATTTTAAACCATTCAGCCACACACCTTTTTCATTTTATAGATAAGTATTGTTAAGCTAGGTCTTGTCACATTTTTGCAGAGATTGTAATTCATCTGCAGTAAGAATATGTTTAATCCATTTACAAAGTAATGCATGTAAATACATGAAATGCCTTAGCAATTGTATTATTTACAGTCCATTATTTTCAGTAACAATTACTGTTGTGCATTGTTTGATAATGGTCATTGATATTTTGAAGGAAGTTTGCGGTTTCAAGAGCCCCTCCCGACCCCCGTGTTCCTTCCCAGAATTCCAACAAACACTGTGGCTTAGTACTGCCTTAAAGAGCAGCATGCCTGATCCAGACACTAACAACCAATGTTCTCTTTAATTTCAGACATGCAACCATGTCATCATGTCCTCTGGCAGTAGCCTCACTTAGTATAAACACAACCATTTTTTTAACTCAGCAAATTGTATCACTTCTCCTGTTCAAATAAGTATATACTTAGCACTAAAGCTACTAATTGTTCTATGTCAAATTATCTTTTTTTATCATTACTAGTACCACTACAGCAACTGCTACATTTTGTCTTTTAAAAGAGCAGTTTATGCTAAGATTAATACCCTGTAAGGTAAGTGTGGCTTAAAATTCATTCACCATACATGTATTGCACATTTATGTGCATATATGTATTGTTATTATGCACACATATTTATTGTACATATGCATACGTCTCTCTGTAGGAGGTATATGTATAACAGATACATTATCAATGCAATATGTATAATATATATGCACTTCAAAAAACACACGTATTTGCATCTGGATAAAGAGACCAAGTTGACTGGCAGCAGCTCTTAGAAGTATCCAGCCACGAGCAAGATGTTTGTTGGACAAAACATGGCAGATCATTTTTTTTTCTCCTTACTACCTTTTTCTCTCACGTGTGCTTACAACCCTTTTAAAAACAAAACTTTTGAAAAAGGTTGTTTTTGTTTTTTGTTTAAGGGGGATTGACTCCATTTTGTTTCTTGAATGTGGGGGAACGCCTGGCACCATATTGTTTTTGTCTTCCTTTGAATCTTAATTAAGGGGAAAAAAGTCCACCCATCTTTTTTAAAAAAACCTAAAAATATTAATATCCCCTTTTGTTTTTTGTAGCATGTAATCTTTGTGTAATTCCATCCCCACCCTTTTCCGAAAGAATTAGACACAACCAATATTTTACAATCAAATCCCACATTTGACTTTATTTTGTTCTTTTATTTTGTGTGCTTTTTTTCCCCTCTTTTAACCATTGCTTTTAGTTTACCAAATGTCCATCTTCTTCAAGATCAACTTTTACGTTGAGTCCTCTTGTTTTGTTTTATAAAAATTTGTTTTTTTTCCCCCATTTTTTTCATTTTTAAAAATACTTTTATTTGGGTTTAATTCTTTTGCATTTTCAGATCTTAAAGATATATATCTTCTGAAAATATTCATCATCCCCCTTTCTTTGGCCTCTCTTTTTAGTCTTTTCTTCTGTCTCCTATCTTCTTCTTAGGCCATGTTTGCCAGCTACGTCCCTGAAATCATAGAGTTAATAGGAAACCGCAAGAAATATGGTGGTTCCTATAGTGCGGTTAGTGGAAGAAAGTAAGTATTCCAAGGGGGCTCTGCTGCCTCTGCTGCAGTAGAACACTCTCTGCATGCCATTTTCTTTTTTTTGTTTTTTTTGTTTCATGCATGTAGGCAATGTTTGCTCGCTACGTGCCAGAAATTGCTGCTCTCATCCTTAATCGGAAGAAATACGGCGGGACTTTTAACTCAACCCGAGGCAGAAAGTAAGTCTAAAAAGACCAGGTGTGGTGGTGACACGCTAAAGAGCCCCTGCAGGTGGTGACATCTGACTCATGGACACTGCCTAATGCTTGTGCTCTGTGACATCACATGTTACCACCAGAGAGTTGTCACACTATGTTCTTAGAGACCTGGGCCATGCTAAGGTACAAGTCACAATATTTTATCCCCCTTTTAAAGAAAATCTCTAGATACCACTAGAACTAAATGGACACATTCTGGAAGGAACCCTGCTATTGCATCTGCAGTTAGCTTATGGACAAAGGTCATATTGTGCTTTTCTAAGCATCAACCAGTTAGACATCACTTGACTGTATTTTAAACAAGCAATTAGACTGGTTGTCATTTTGAAATTACTTAATCCATAAGAAAATTGATCATGCCAGAATACGACATGGGCACTTAATGTTGTCCAGCTAATTTCATCACGATGGCCCTACTGGAAGGTGATGTTGCTACTTTTCATTGATCAAATTCTAAAAGACGCTAACTATATGCAGCTCCAATGGGCTTATTTTTGTGTTTGCAGGTGCTCAGGGCACTCTTAGGGTTCAGAGCAGTCTTTTAAAGACCATTACATGCCCACCTACACACCCCAAAAGCTATGTTAATCCTAAAAAAAATGAGAGAGTCAATATCAGGGTAGTGCTATAAACACATACAAATAATTCTTTTTGGCTGGTAGCAACACTTACGCTTAAACAGGCCACGTAAACTTTCACGCATTAACTGCGTTTCCATTGAATGCCTGTTTTCATCTTTACCATGTTATAACCAAGTCTATCCGAAAGCCATGTTAGATCTGTTGAGAAATAGCCTCAAATAAGACTTAGATACCAAGAGAATAATATTCTCCTTTTGGTCCCACCTTAACAGTTTTCCCATCTCATCTTTAGTTCCACTCATCTGTCTGCCATTCCAGTACAGAGATGGAGAAAACTGGTCCATTACCCTCAAGACCTTTTGCATACTCCTTTGCACAGCACTTAATAGAGGATACTCCAAATAACCCTTTCTGGAGGAATCCAAATTTTGTCCCTCCCCTCATCTTCGAGAATTAAGCATTTCAACCTAGTTCCTTTGAACCCATCACTTGACATCTCATTGTCGTGTGACAGAAATAAGAGAAATAACTTGATATTATCTTCCTTGCTGAGTTGAGAAGCTCCAAAAATCTGTAACCATTTACCAGCTAATTCCTGAGCACTGATTTACATCATGTGACCCACAAATAAAACCTTTTCCTTGTACCACAGACTTGTACCACTGAGCATTACAGTATGTCCCCAGTAAAGCAGATAACTCCTTAACCACTTTAAAAATATGCTCTTGAATGCCTAAAATACACAACTGCTACCAGTACGGGCATCTGACAGCACAGCTGACCCAGACCAATTGAGTTAATCCTCAAGATGTGCCTTCTCATTTGTCATTTGCCTTCTCTGACCATCAGAGAGAGAGGAATCACTAGTTTCCCCAAAATGTTTGTTTTTAATACCCGTCTACTCAGTTTCCTACACATTGTCCCAGATTTTTCAAGTCTAGGAGTTTTGCAAACATAAAACTACAGCATTTGATGGTGCAATTATTACTGAAGTTTCACCAGCACAGAATTTGACCTAATAAATACAGTACAGTTATAAAAATACAGTTTTAATCCCCCCTAGTCTAGTCTTTTTTTTCTTTCTTTTTTTGGTCACTGGTACCCAGCATTGCTCTGTTGTCTCTAAACTTGGACCTGATCTTCAATTAAATTCCAATATCCTGAAGGCCTCAACTCCCAGATCACAGGCTTCCCGCTAGCTTTGGGGCTTGCTTCATCTTATTTTATCACTTTTTTTTCTTTTTGCTTTATTTCTATGCACTTTGTTTGTTTTAGCTCTTTCTCTGTTGGTCTCTGCTGTCCATATCATTTGTCAACTGAATTCACTCTGTCATCGGCATATGGATGGTTCAATTTACTTTACGCATTGTTTCTTGGTTCAAAAGCTAATTACTAAGTACTTTAAAGAAGTCCTTTGCTCACGTGGATCTATCATCAGAGAATATAAGCTTGGGAACTGCTCAGTAAAAAGCCATTAGCTCTGCTTGTTTGATGTTGCTTTTCCAGTCAGTAGAACAAGATTGATGAAATGTTATGTTTGGCCAAAATTTGAGTTTTCATTTGGAATTCAGTGTTGAGAGAATGGGCTGTCAGAACCAATAAGTTTTCTTTCACTTGGGATATGGGCATGTGGAAGTAATTAGCAATGCAAGGTCTTTAGTTGAGCAACCAAGCATAGATTCTGGCAGCAACCATAATGAGAAACTACAAGTTGTTCTATTTCTAATGTCAAAAAGTTTCCAGATAAAATTAAAAGTGTCTACAAAATGAAAGCAGCTAAACTTTGTTGAAAGATGTTGTTCAGACTCTTAAATAGCATGTGTGTTTGATTTTCTCTTTGAGAGAAACACACACAATGTGGTAGTAGAGAGTGCACATGCATACGCGCGCGCACACACACACACCACAAATATTGTACATATAAAATAAGGCGTCTATCCAAATTACAGTATTACGTATAGTATAAAGTTTAAAAAAAGTATTTCTCAGTTCTTGTTTCAAAAATAATAGAAAATTATGTTATCCAATTTCAAGACCAAGGATATATTTTGAAGAGAATTTGCTGTAAAGTTATACCTATGGAAGTAGCTGGAACCTACGCTCAGAAAGCATTGCCAATATCATCAGTCATTTAAGAAAAACCCCCCATTAATTCTGACCTTATGTTTACACGGTGCCTTTCAACCAGAAAAATCCCAAAACTTTTTACACACTATAAAAATAATTTTCCTCATTACAGAAACCTTCACCCCTGGGGTGAGATGCACAGATAACTTGGGAATAAAAGGAGTTTGGAGGAAGAATGTAATTGCTGTTGTTCAAACACAGTTTTCTGTTGCAAAATAGCTTGTGAGTTTTTTAATTATACCAAATGCGTAGGACCTCAGCATCGCGGCTATTCCAATAATATAACATCTTAGAGTAGAGTTGATAGAACACCATGCAAGAGAATTTGTTCAATGCTGACTTTAGGCAAAGTGTCACTTAGTATTTCATAAATCATAAAATAGCACACTGAGGTTTCCCATACAAATATTGACTGGTTCAAACCTTGCTTACCTGATGATACCTGATACAGCTATAGCCCAGTGTACTACAGCTGCAGCACACAAATGATCCAAAAACTTTTCAATGCATTATAACTCTATAAAGCATGGGAGCCATGTTTAGTAACTGGCTTGAAATGACCATAGATTATTTAATGTGAATCCTGGAATGTGCTTATTTTAAAGAAAGGACAATTGAAATAAAGTTAATTCAGAGGGAGGCATCTCTACTTTTCTAAAGTTACTCATGGAAATAATGATAAAAAATGTTATTCACTGTACTTTTTACTTTTAAAGTGTGCACATAAGGAATCTGTTCTGTTCCATACGCTCGTGCAGTCCCACCTTTCCATTAATTTCTAACGGCAAGATTTTTGTATGCCCTTTTTTGCAAATGTTTCTAGAAGGCCATTTGGGGGGGGGGGATGCAAATATGCTACTAGATGTGACATTGTCAGAGGTTCATGGCTTTCCCATTGCGGTCTGTGGGCGTTCAGTTCACAAACTGAGAGTGTTGGCTCTAGTTTCTGTATTGCATCATCCGTTCTCTAAAGAGAAGAATGGTCTAGCGGGTAGTACAGGGTACCAGCAATCTGAATGCCTCGCTCCTGCTTTTGACTCAGCCACTGAGTACCTGTGTTTGTCTTTGGGTAATAATGTAATTTCTCTGTGGTTCAGCTGACGTATTATAATTAATAGAATAATACCTACCTCATAGGGATGTTGTGAGGCTTCATTGAGTTGTGTATTTGCTTTCTGCAGATGAAAGGTGATATGCAGTGTGAAACAGCGAAGTTTATAATCTGCTTGCGTCATCACACTGCCAACGTTATATGCAGTATTTGTATAGCTTATTTCACGATAACATGAAACATTGCCAGTATGTTCATGCTTCGTATAAGCATGAACTACTGACTAGACAAAGCAAGTCCTGTACAAGAGATGTGTATTATGTACTCAAGCAATTGGATAGGTGGATTTCTAAATATAAAGTCTACTTAGCAGACAATATGGGATTATACTGCTGAAGAATATATTGTGTTACGAATTGCAGTGGTAACATGTGAGCCATTATATTATCTGGACATCAGGCACTTAGTAATATATTGCATGCTACAAAGGATGAGAGTGTGGAAGTAATTGTTAACTAAATTAGTAGCATGCAGGGATCATACAGAACAGTCATAGTAGTTTTCAATGATTGATACTGGACAAAAACAGATGCCGGAAAAAAGTTAGATATAAAAGGAAGCGAGGAGGGGGAAAAGCTATGTGATCTGGGAAATGCACTATCATACAGGACCTGTAGATCAGGGAACAAAAGAGAGATTATAAACTCAGTAAGGCAGGCAGTCATTTTTTACCTTGGGTATCACCAATGACAAGTCGATAAGGTATGTCTTGAATATTGTGGGGCTATTATTTCCCCTTGGTGATCTGCTGAAGGAGTTCTGAGATTGCCAACCTGTCCCTATATCCTGTGTTTAGTCCTCCTCATCTTCACACTTTCAGCTCAGCTGAAGCTACCGGGGCTTCTTTTGGAGCTGGTTGGCTGGCCCTCCTGGATTAGCATGCAGGAGCTCAGCTCCACTGGCCATATATGGATGAACAGGACACACCAGGGCTAGTGACAAATTTGGCTGGGC